AGCTGTGCTCTGATCTGACTCGGTGACTTTGCCCTTGAACCAGTGGATTGGATTTGTTCTGTTATCCTTCTTGTGGCCGCTTAAAATCATCTGAGACAAGGAAATAGGACGTCTTGGAGCAACACGTGGGACACACTACTTACAGAAATATCCTGTGCCATTTAAGTGTTTAGTTGAAACCGAATGTGGTCTAATAGGCTTGCGCATATAGTCTCATTAGGTCACACACACTTATCCTACCATGTATTTTAGCGCAGTGATTGGAAAACCTAAAGTGGTTTTACTTGTCTTGTGTGGGGAAAAGAAAATCTAATAGCAGGCTAACTCTTTGAAGGCAAAACTGTACCGCCTGTTTATGCTATCAGAGATATCTTTGCACCATTTGGAGGGGCTGAGTATTGTTTCCATAATGAATGTGGCTCCCAGGGGAATGACATGACATCTGGATAGGAGAGTGTGTTGAGAGAAACCCACAGTGTACATAAGTAATGGAGCAGTCCCTCAGGGCTAAACTCTTTCTTCTTTCTCTTTAAAGATCTGTTATGATTGGGCAGTAGTGGCATCCTAAGATATTAATAGATATTAGCCAATCGTGTTTCTGCATTAAAGTTCCACTGTGCGATTCAAACACTGTTCTTTTCCAAAATTGCATTGGTTTTGGTTTAAACAGAGAGTCTGTTCTCCACAGTAATGCTGCTGTAGCATTACTCACTACCCGCAAAGGCTAGAGGTCTGTCTTAAACGCGAAATAGTCATAATTTTTGGTATGAAAAAAATGAATTATGAATAAATCTTAAAGTAGTTCTCATAAACCAGGATTAGCTGAATCCTCCTCTTCTGGTGCATTCGCTTTTGAATGTTGGTAGTAAAGCCACAGAGCGAAATGAAAACCACAACCACTGAAAGTCATTTCAGATCTTGTTTTGTCTGCGTGTTGGCTCACAGCTATGATTTAGGATGCACCAAAGCACGTAGGAAAACAAGGCCATAAACAGTACTTGTATTCTGACTTGAAAATGGTCACCCTTTGTAATCTGTCAGGAGCGTGAAGCTGAGGCGAAGCAGTGTGGAGTCAAAAAAAAACAGTCTGGTGATTATGTGCAGATTGCTTCACGATCCACCTCTTCCTCCTCTTGGCTTTTCCCAGACTTGTTATGTTTCAGCAGGTTTGATGCAGGAGCTGCAAGTAGAATCAGCATTTTTTTTCTCTCTCAGCACTTCAGCATTTTTTATTTTCCGTCAGTGGAAGTGATTCTAGACAAGCTGATGTGCGCGTATTTTGGTACATTTGACGGTGAGAACTTATTTGGCTCACTCAACAGGGAGGTCATGACAGAAAGAAGAACTGGATTGAAACCCGGGTGAGGGGATGGATGGGGGTGAGGGGGTGGTTTGAGAACTCATCACTTCCTAGGGATCAACAGTTGACCTCCCGGTGCAGGCTCAGACAGAAGCAGGAGGACACCCACACACATTCACACGCCCATGCCTATTCTTCACAGCTGCGCAGTAGCTTGTATGAGTAACTCCTTTACAACAGACTGTGACCGTGATGGCACGTGACTTAAAGAATGTGAGTTTTACCTTTTGACTGTCAAGTCCCCGCAGTAATAAAACCTCCTCCCCTCCCACTGCTGCAGACTTAAATACACCACACAGGTAGAGAAGGTGTGGCTCTTTGCAGGTATTTGCTCAAGGATCCCATAGCTTGTGACATGCAGTACCTCTGTGTCCACACATTCATTAGCACACAATACCTACAAAAGGTTTATTTTCAGGCCCTTTTTAAGTGAGCGTGTGCGTATTTGTGTTTCCGCGTAAAATAGTCAGCTCGCCTTGATTGTGTGTTTGAGCGGGTGCCAATTGTGAGAGCAGGATGAGGGAAAAGAGGGGGCAAAAAGAGGCCATTCTCTGGGCTAATTGCCAGTAATTAGTCATTAGTGAAGAAGGTCAAATCCTTGATTTAATTCCAGCTTTAATCAAGCAGAGAACCTTCAAAGGCTCACGTGCTAAAGCAATGTTTAGTTATGAGATGCATTGAGCTATTTCTGATTTCAACGACTTATCTAATTTGAGTTTTTAATTTGTTCACTGCTTTGAAGGCGTCTTAACATCTGGCTCCTTTTTCCATCGGATATTCAATAAATTGTCATTTCCTGCAACAGCACTTCTCAGTGTGTGCAAGCTTTAAGTTGCACCTGCGCACACAGAACTAAAGCTGTTGATGCATCTGCGATATTATTCCTAGAGGGAACATTACTTGATTACTTAATTGATAGAAAACTGTTTGCCAGCCGTGCTACTATTAGTTTGAGAAATGCAGAGTGGTTCACTCTTACCGCTCTGCTAAAAAGGCTGGAGTGCAGTGAATAATAGTAATAAATATATGGAATCAAATAAGAATTAGAAAGTAGTCACACAGGAAAATATTTGAGGATTCAGTAGTGAAAATGCAATAATCTGCTTGTGGATTTGTGCAGTTTTTTTCAATTTAATTAAAAAATGCTAAATGTGTGTTAAAGTCTTCCACTGGAAATAGGCCAAACATTCCCAAGTTTACTACGTGCATGATGTGAATTATTTCTTTGTCTTTCTTTGTCATTCATAATTGCAGTTAAGTATTTACTGGTGTTTGCACAAAACAGGCAGTTAGAAGCCATAACCTCGAGTTCCAGGCACATTTTTAGACAGTTGTAAACTGACTCTGTAGGAAAAGGTGCTGGAAGTTTCTTAGCTTTACATTTGTAGCCCCAAGTTCTTTTCACCAATCACATTCAGGCAACTTTGTTTGCATTTCAATAACTTTTCAACATTTTCTTCAGTTGTGTGCATACAATCACCTGTGAAATGAACAGGAAGGTTTGACCCGGATTTCCAGTATCCGCTGTTTGGATATCCTCGCTGCACAGGAAGCTGCGAAAATTGGCCGTTGGCTTTGCAGGCCAAGTCAGCAGACTAGCTGATGTGTTCCCATGTTGGATGTATGTGGAGTCAGTTCCAAAACAAGCACATGCTTAGAAAGTTTAAGCACTCAACTCATTTATACTGTTATAGGAGTGTGATTAATGAGCGCACGTTCATAACTCAATAGATGCTAGTTTGACTGACCAGCCCAAATATTTCTCATGGTGCTTTTTTTGTCCTGTGGGTGCACAAATAGCAGCAACAGGTAACAGCTAAGCACATTAGATCTCATTAAACCTCTCCATGAAGAACATGCTGGAAACCTCGCTTGGTTATTTTTAATGCTTTGAGAGTGCCGTTTCAGTGTGCCGCTCCTGTCTCACTTCTACAGAGCATCAACATGTAGCAGAAGCACACATTTCCCTTCTCTTTTCTGCTTTTCCACTGTATTTTCCTATAAATGTCTACACAGCTGAATATGCCACATGATTATGTCCTCAGTGCTGTCAGAAATCACTACCGGCAGGGAGAGCAGGTCATAAGGAAACCTTTCTCCTGAGGTGACAGTACGCTGATTACATTATTAGAAGTTTAGATTTAAGAATGTAGCCTAAATTTAGGGCTGCCAATTATCTTCTTCCCGCGCCTTAACAAACCATAATACATCTGTGATCACTAATTATGGCTCTCGGGGTTAATTTCACGTATTTTATGTGGGCCATGACACACTAATATAACACAGCGTGCTTTTCAGAAGGATCGTATTATTTTAATTTCTCCCTCTGGGATTTCTTAAAGAGACGCTAGCGTTTCTCCTCTTCCGTCATGTTCTCCTCTGTGTCGGGCCGCTGAGTCACGGGAGGAGGACAAAGCCAAACGAGTGTCACTGAGAGTATACTGTTACTAGTGGTTCTCCTTTAAACACTGTATAGACGATCCAATAACTTGCTGGGTAGTCTGCGCAAGAAGGCTCTGAGTTGCGTAAGGCAAATGGATGGACACAGGAAATGTGAATTTTCTGGTGCCATATCTCAGTTTGAATATCTGAAGAAGAACATTCGATACATTGGAAGGATAAATTAGAAGGAACACTTTAACATTTACGGGTTGGTCTATTTTGTGGTGATAATAACACGTTGCCTTGCCTCTGTCATCACTAAACAAGTCGAACATCTACTTCTTGCATGCATATTTTTAAGTCTAAAACTTATTCCCTGTTTTAAAAGCCTGCTATAGTAGACGCAGTCTTCCACCAAGGGTTACTTTTGCAGATCAAATCCGTCTCTGCATGGTTTATTTAGCTTCCCTCAGGATTTCTCGTGTATTGTTCCTCGCTGCCTTTAAGTTATATTTTTGGCCTGTGTGTGCATCTGGATTTTCACTTCGCCCTGTGTTTTCCTGGCTATCCTAGAGCACCTAAAAAAGACAATTCCTGACTTCCTGGAATGCTATCACACTTGTTAAACACACGAACATATTCACAGAGGCGACTCAACTGAACATGCTGCTAACAATACCTTTAAGCTTGTATGCTGGCACAGTTATTTCACAGCGTGATATGGTGTTAAGTTATTTTTGGCAAGACAAAAAAGAACTTCAACCTCTGACCACTTCTTGTCACCCACTCAACACACGTCATTTATAAAAACCTGCAAAACAGAAAGAGAATTTGTGATAAATGCTTTTAAAAAACAAGGAGAACGTAGTGAAGAAATGTCACTGACATATAATAACCTTTGGACTGTATTAGTGTCTTCATACTGTCTTCCCTTGCTCTTTAGTCCTGAACCCTTTTTAGAGGAAGTAATTGGAAACGTCTGGTTGTACTGTACTTTTAAGCAACCCCTTCCACCATGACCTCCCCCAACCGCGCCCCCCTCTGGCCAGACCTCCTGGTTGTAGCACTACAACAGGTGTTTCTGTATAGATAGAGGGGGAGATAAAGAGAGAGGAGAAACATGAGTTGAGTGGGCGGTAGAGGAGCTGATTTGTGCTGCAGTCGGGCAGCAAACAGTTCCTGTGGGATTGATCTCTGGGGAAGGATAATCTGGGTAATCCTATAACCGGCGCTGTTGGACTCCGCCTCTTTTGCTCTTCACGGAGGCCCCCCCATCCCTCCCTCTACACGCCGACCCTTCCGTCCCGTTCTTCTCTGAAAAGTGCTCGATTGAGCATCCACCAAGCCGGCACGTTGAGTCTGACACCGGGTCCTGAGCGACTCGTGTTCTTCCAGTGCTGCCATTAGGGCCTGAAGACATGTGGCATCCAGTGGCATCACCTGGAAGTGGGGGCAGCCCTGGAACGGAAATAGGTTATGGTCACTGTGAGTAGCTGGGTTTTGTTTTTAGTGTGTGTGTGTGTGTGTGTGTGTGGAGTCATTCTGATGCAATGCGTCTCTTCTGTGGGTTTCAACAGAAGTGAAGCTTGAGCACGAAAAGCTAGTGGTGCACAGATGCATTTGAGTAATGCCTCTAATCCCTGTGCACTCTTTGATGAAGTTATTTTGAATTTCTTTCTTCCGGGTAGAAACCAACAACTCTCATGGCAATTGCATCTGCAGATCGTTAGACCCGTTTTTCTTTTTCTTTTATATATTCTTCTCTCACCCATGTTGTATATATCCCTCGCTAAAAAATAACGAAACATTTAATTGTTTTTTTTTTTTAATCAAGGAACTGCATCTTTAAATCTATTTCCAGGATATTCGCTGCTAACAGATTAGTTCCTGCTTTTATCATCACTGGGTCATTTTAACAAGTCGTGGCAGGTACAAGGTTTTTCAGTTGGAGATCGGGATCTAGAACTAGTGACTCACTTGAATTCTCAGATGAGTTCAGCGGGGTTGTCACACAGTCTAAAAGGATGCTTCCAGCTCTCTTTGCCTTGTCCTTCGCTGTCTCTTTATCTCTCAACACTTGTCCCTTCCTGTTAGCCCTCTTCATCACGCTTTCTTTCTCCATTTGTGTCACACTGCCTGTCACCTTTCCATCAACAGCCTCAGTGATGTGTTTGTTTCCTTTTTTTTTCCTTTCTAGCCTTCCTGAAGAGGTGTGGGAAGCATTGGTGTGAGCCATTAAGTGGCTTCTCTGTCTAGAGAATATGTATATCTGCAAATTGTGCATTTTAGAGCACCCTCGTGTTTTTGAGTGTCCTTGAGAAACAAATTCTCCTGAAAATATTAAAGTTGTTCAGTGGATTTTCTTGGCCTGGGTGGAAGTATGGTCTGAGGACAGTAATATAGTCTAATACAGACTTTCAAACCTGGCAGTCCAAGTGTTTTATGTTCATGGTTATGCTTATTATTGGCTCTTTCTGTTCTGATCATTCATTAAAAGCACCGCAGGACATTCGACAAAGCTGTGATTAAATTCATATTATGCTGAGCTTCAGCTATGTTGATGAAATAGAGTGTTGCCTATTTAATATCAGGAGCAATTCAATAAAACTTAAACAAACAACAGGACTATAGCTTAATAAATGCTGGCAGTTTTGCATGTTTTTCAACAGTCCAGTACAAATTGATTGATATGGCATTAAACCGGAGCCACCATATGGTTTCATAATGATTTTCCTTGTCTGAAAAAGAGATTAGTTTATAGGAACTTTTAAAGCAACCAAGCACTGGGTTTAAATACATTTGATCCCATGCTAACTTTAAAGATATTTCTGTTATTTGATTTTCACATTTTAGTTGCTTTGGCAATGTGGAGTAAATCATAGCTAAGAATAATCTTTAGAACAGCGGTCCCCAACCTTTTTTGCGCCACGGACCGGTTTATGCCCGACAATATTTTCACGGACCGGCCTTTAAGGTGTCGCGGATGAATACAACAAAATAAAACTAGTACTGGTACCGAAAAAAATTAAATTTATTCATAACACACGTGAAAAGACCAAGGAAAACCGAGTAAATGATAAAAACGATAACAAAATAATGCTAAAAACCCTGAAAACTATACATTTCACACCTGAGCCTCAACTCTTGCGGCCCGGTACCACGGACCGGTACCGGTCCGAGGCCCGGGGGTTGGGGAGAAGATTAAAGGAAAATCGTCAAATGCTGCTTGTAGTTAAAGGGGTACAGTGTAGTTATTCTGAGGGAGCAAATCCTTCTTTTTGAAAACTTTATTTTGTTGTGCTAAATGTGCTACCTCTTAGCATCATGTCCGAATAACCAGCAGCTTGCCTGACTTTAGCAGTTAACTTAAAGCAAAGCCGTTAGCATGGCTAGCTTAGAAGCTTAATCCTATCACCACCTCGCTTCTTGTCATTTAGCATTTTTCTTCTCATTTCCCGATTGGTCTTTTTATGTTTCTGTACATGACCACAAGGAACATATTGTTTTTCATGTGATACGGTACCCCAAGACCAGACTGTCTGTGCTAACTCTAGCTGCTAAGCTGGTGTAAGTCCGACTGTCTTTCTAGGATCCGGAAAGCTGGTGTAAGTGTCGTCCTCTTTCTAGGATCTGTCTTCAGTTCAGGAGGTCAGGTCGGCCTGGTCGCAGCATGAGATGAATGAGTTTGTGTGTGTGTTTTGTGTGTCAGTGTGTGCATGTCAACAGCACATGGCTATATCCCCATTGCCCCCTGTAACAGTGAATGACTACTTCTAGGAACTCATTTGAGTTGTCTCAGCAGGCGAAGCCAAAAGGGCGGATGCCCGATTTGCATTGGGACTTTCGGCCCAGCTGTTTGTTTGTTTTCCAGGACTGCTTCGTCAGCCTGTTCTGTGTTAGCTCGTGTTGTTTAAGTTCCAAACTTTTATCACTTGCAAAACAGTCTTTATCTTGTCCCAGTCTCAGTCATGGGCTCCTCATCGATTCTCTGTGGGCCTGTGTTTAAAAAAAGAAAAAAAAAAGGTCCCAGTGGCAGGTCAGTGTTTGATTTTAGAGAACTACAAACGTGGTCCGCCTGTGGGAAAACAATATATGTACTTTCCAAACAATTTGCTTTGCTTGTATGAATGCTTGCTATAGAGAAACTGAAAGAAATGGGGGAAAGAGTTCATTCCTCTTCTGTTCAGAAGTATATTTGATTTCACTGGAGGGTTTCACAGGGCAGAATTTGGGGTCAGAGAGGTTTGCCATCTGAAGCCTTTATGTTGTGACAGCCGTAAGCCTTTATGGACACACTTTTCTTTATGTTTCCAACAAGACAGGAATGATGCACAGCTGTAGCATCTGTTCTGCTGGTAAAATGAGCGGTATTAATTTTGGCTGACAAAGCAGTATGAAAATGGAACAGGTGTCCTTGAAGCAGCTTTGGACAGAGTGCTGCTTATGTAACAGTGGACTGTATCTTTATTTTCTATCACCGGCAACCATTCGTATCTCCTAAAATCACAGCTGTGCAGAAAATAAACAGGGGCTTTTCTCAACTCATGATCTAATGTCCTCGCACAGGCGGGGCGATTAGGAGTGTGTGGTGGTAGTGTTGGTGCAGTCATGAGGGCTGGGAAGAGAAGGAGAGGAGTGCCCTCCCCCAGCCAGCCATCCATCCAGCCATCCGTTGCTACCTTCTTCCTCCCTGGGTCTATTCGGCTCTCAGTCCCCTCCTCCCCGGGCCTCCCACCTTCTTGACAGCTGGCCTGCTGAGCTGCACATACTTACCCGGGGATAAGAGGATTTACTGACACAATTGATCAGATATCAACCTCATTTAGTCAAGAAATGAATGTTAAAAGGTTGGTGATTTTTATGCTGGTGTGTGCAGACAATTTGAGGGGTGTTTTTCCCCCCCTCTTTTAGTGTGAGCAAGTATGTGCGCATGCAAGGAGTGAGTGTGATGGTTTGCAGCCAGCGCAAATGAGCCGGACTGGCAACACGGAGATTTCTTAATTACATGTTCACTGAATCTAATGAGCTCCTCAGGCTGTCCGTCTGATTACTTTAGGATGCATTCTGCTCTATGTCGTTTGGTCACGGCACTGTCATCTACAGACTTTAACTCATTTTGCATAAAAACACATATAGAGTAGACGGTTATTGAACAAATCCATGCACATGCTCCTTTTTGTTGGGGTTCATGTGATAGATATTGAATTTTATGTTGTCATTTAGGAGTGGTTCTGCTGCTCCCACCCCGTCATCCCCTCGCTGTGCACTCCCAGTGCTGGTCTGCTCTCCAGACGGGAGATATTATTAGTTTGGTCTTATTGAATTACTACTCAGTGCAGCGCTCCATCCAGTTACAACCCAGTAATTAACTGCAAGGGATTTAGAGGGTTTGTGATGTTTTTTTTTTTTTAAACCTGTTGATCATCAGATCAATGTGATGTATTTGTGGCTTTGGGTTTTCCTTCCTTTGGCTTTCAAAGTAAATATGATCATCTGACACAGCAGAGGCAGTTTGATGAGGATGTTTGAATCTTTTGCATGCGAGGGAACAGAATAATGTGATGTTGTTAAGCTCAGTAAAGGTCATATTAAGAATTATTGTTAGTATTCACTGGTCTGGTTAAGTGGTTAGTCTATAAAAATGCCTCGGAGGCTAAAAGTACTAATCCCATTTTTCCAAAGACCACAGGAAAAAGAGTCAATCTTGATGTGTGTGGACATGGTTTGCACAGGTTAGTTTAATATAACACTACCGCGATTGGTTTGTTATTGTTGATAACTGTGCAATCACTCTACATTCAAAGATCTTTCAAACACAATAAGCATATCAAAAGGGAGCTAATATAAAAATAGTCTGATGTGCTGTAAAACTGTATGGGTTACATTTCTTGCTAAAAGTAGCTGTGATTTACACAAAGTCAGATCAAGCTGCATTTTAGCAGGTTATTGTGCGAGTCCTGCATCCCCCCTCAGTGCAATAATTTCTGGGAACGATCAGTAGAGAGCTGCGCTGCTGCAGACAGAAAACTCTTTTGAACTTGGCTCAGGAGTTTGGTAACAAGTGACCTTTGATTTGCGACACTAGTGTTCAAAGGTGCCCTTCACTGCTCTGTTTGCTCTCAGATAGATGCTTGAGTTGCTGAAGCGTTGCATAGGTTTAGGCAAGACTGAGAGGGAAAAGTTAAACGACATATTTGCGAATGCTGCAGACTGCTAACGTACATTTCTGTGCCACGAAATGAATGGAAGGATTATGGTCAAATATAGTCTGTGCATTTAAGTCTTTGTTGTGCAAGTGACTTAGATTGGACTGCCAGTTGAGGCGGGTCGTTCAAGGATAGGCTTCTTTGAGCCGCTCGGGG